GTATGTTCTCGCCTTAATGTCACTTTTCTCCCTTAGTAAAAGCTTTGCAGTCTCTTTGTGTCCGTTCTGTGAAGCTCTATGAAGTGGAATGAACCCTTGAAAGTCAGTTGCTCGCACGCTACTCCCACTTCTGATTAGCAATCGACAGGCGTCCGTGTGGCCACGTTCTGCAGCTCTGTGGAGTGGTGTGTATCCCAGACAATCAATTGCATGTATTTCGCTATCATGTAGCAGTAAGGTTCGTACAGTGTTGACATGGCCTTCGCTGGCACTTCTATGCAGTGGCGTAAACTTCCATTTATCAGTGGCGGAGATATGAGACCCATGTTTAATAAGTAAAGTAGCTGTTTCAGTGCGACCACACTCCACTGCCCGATGCAAGGGAGTGTAGCCCCAGCTGTCCCTGCTGTTTGGATCGCTTCCACGCAGCAAGAGGACTTTGACTGTTTCAAGATGTCCATTCTTTGACGCTCTATGCAGGGCCGTAAGAGCCCGTTTGTCTTTTGCAGAAACGTCTGCACCATTTTCGATCAGCAACTGGATAACATCCGAATGACCTCTCTCTGATGCAAAATGAAGACAGGTGGTTCCAGTTGTGTGATGGGGTGCATCCAAGTTAGCCTTGAAGTTAATTAGATGTTTACAACACTTTACATGGCCATTATTTGATGCTATCATGAGCGGCGTCAGGCCTTTATCGTTCTTGGAATTTACCATGCTTCCTGCTTGCAAAAGTGTTTCTAGGGTTCTGTGTTGTCCATTTTGCGAGGCGCGGTGTAATGCTGTATTTCCATTGTTGTCGACTGCATCAAGATGGGCACCAACATCGATCAGAAACTGGGTAAACTGAACATTTCCTTTGAGAGCAGCGAAGTGAAGAGCTGTTTTTCCAGCTTTGTTATTCGCATTCCGTTTTGCTCCGCTGCTTATCAGTAAATTCCCAACGTGTGTGCTATTTTGAAATGCAGCAATCATCAGCGGAGTGATGCCGTCCTTCGCTTGTGCATTAAATTTTTCTCCATGTTGTATAAGTTCCTTAGCAACCTCAACACAATTTGTTTGTGCTGTAAAATGCAGCGGGGTGAATTCGCAGTTGTCTTTTGCATTGACATCAGCTTTGTAATTGAGAAGAATTTTTGTTATGTGAGCTTTTCCCGAGAAGACTGCATAATGCATTGGAGAGTATCCATTTTGATCCTTTGCGTGAAGATCACTTCCACTGCTGATCAGTTCCTCGATAGCATTCTGTTGCACATTTAGGAGAGCTAAGTGCAGCGGGGTACATCCTTCATTTGTTTTTGAATCGAGGTCGCTTCCCCTCTTTAAAAGTTCCCTAACAGCGTTTACATTTCCATTAGATGCCGCAAAGTGTAGGGCTGCTAGGCCCATTGAGTTTTTCCATTTCATCTTCGCCCCACGTTTATATAGAAGGCGAATCGTGGTCTTATCGTCGTTTAAAGAAGCCAATATTAAGGGCGTCATACCACTTTCACTACAAGCATTGACATTGGCTCCGAGGTGTACCAAAGTGCGAATGGTGTCAGTTTTACCTGATGAGCATGCCATGATAAGTGGGGTCCGCTGATCTTTAGATAGTGGATCTACATCATAGCCACCTTCCCTGACAAGCCTTTCGACAGCTGATGCATCCCCCATCACTGCTGCGATGTGCAAAGGGGTCAATGACTTCACCAGATCCTTTTCCACTTTTTCGCATTGTTGGAGTTGATTTATTTTTATCTCCTTTAGTTCCCGTATGAGTTCTCCTATAGAGTCTATACTTCTTGTTCTTCTTTTTGCATTTTCGACGAACAAGCTTTCTTCATTAGTGCGATAGTCATGGACTAGGTCAGTGAGGTTTTCTTCGAATGGCAGAGACAGGTCGCTCTCAGGCGTACTTAGTCCCATCACTGAGCTGAGACTCGTTGGTCTCCCTCGAATATCCTGGTGACTCGCAAAGTTTTCCATCGCCTAAAAGCCAAAAATTCTTAGGTTAAGATTATGAATAATTAAGTTTGACCGATGCACTTACAATAGCCGTCAAGCAGAATCCCAAGTTTAGAGATTTCTGGAAAATGAAATATTGCCTTTGGCTATAAGGAGTCAGAAATTCAGCTTTACTTGTCTTGAGTGATTTACCAGCAGGTCCCGAGGGGTCAATAGTTTGAGAAAATGAAGTATCGCTCGAATGTTGATAATTACTTGCATTTTTCTCCATGTTTTGTAGCAAATGTCTTGTTTCATTTGGTCCCTGGCACCATTTCACTTGCACCAGCGTAGATGCATTTATTGAAGAGATCTCTATTGCAGTAAACAGGCATCGCTATTATTTCCGCGGAAACAAAATGAATAGATAGAGCTGTTTTGTTTACTTAACCTATGCGTGCTACAGCTCACTTCATAATGGCCTCTTTGCGGAGCGATCGATTGTTCCCTTTATTTTTTTAATGTCTCGTTTCTAGAACATTCGTACCGCTTCCAGCTTTGCTTTTTGTAATCTGAGCAACCCCGGTTACAGACTGCAGATTGACTCCGTTTTTAAAATGAAAGATGTGCTAGAAAACGAAACGAACTGATCAGATTAGCTGAATTTTCTGCCTTCGAACAAAGATCGCTTTTGCATCTTGTCAACAACATCGAATTTGTAAACAGTAACCATTGTTTGCAAGCTCAGTACTTCAATCATTGCCTGTTTGTACAAATTTGTCTCAAGTTGTGTGGCTTGATTCGGGAAAGAGCCTCAGACAAAACGACTTCAATGTTATTGCGAACTTTTAGCGAATGTGTAATCCAAGACAAAGCCAGTATTGAGGATAGCATGTTACCTTTTGACATAGACCTCACTTTTAGACTCATCTGTAAACTACGCAAATCTACACAATATTGCGAATTGACGATGTTGTACCGTAAATCCTGCCGTAAAGATCCCAAGTTCAAATAGGTTGGAATGCCTTACCGTAGAGCTCAAATCGTATTCCATCTACATCGATGACTCAAGTAATCCTTCTTCCCTCCAAATGATGGATCATTACGTTAACAAAGTAGGACTCAGTTCTCAACGTGAATGCTGTCATTTACAACAAATCTCTTTTTTTGTCAAGGTGTGGTTGCAAGAAAACTGGGATTAATATTTGCTTTGGATCGCGTCTAAATTTTTCCAAACAGAAGCGCCACTAATTAAACCAGATGGCATATCTAATGAGTACAACGAATATCAAGTTGTTTACCAAATAATCACTCGAACGGAACAAGAGTCTATTATGTTTAAGTCACTGAGTCACGTTAACAACAAAGATATCACAACATTGCCCTCGCTCATTCTTCAAAGATAAGATTGTGTCTAGAACTGAAGCCGGACAAAATATACTGAAAACAGTTTTAAAATTTCCAATGTCGATACCTTGGTATTAATATAAAAGAAATTTAGTGTTTTCTCAGACTTAAATTGTTGTTTGCGAGCTCGCCTCTTTTTAACGAGTTTACGATGACGACAATCCTTGGCCTAGTTCACAATGTGCGTCATATCATCTGAAACGATTATCTTGTTTCATTAGCTTCAAGATGTCATTTTGGTTATTTAAACAATGATCAAAGTTTCCTTCCCGCTTCTGCTCTTTTTAAGCGATGTACCATAGATGTAATTTTAATGATTTGCTCATATCTTTAGCCCCTCGCATTACAACAGAAACGAACTAACAAAAAAGCTGAAGGTGAAATGACCTTAAAATTTTCCAAAAATAGAACTCTTTAAATATTCTGATTTGAAGACAGACCAGAAAAATTAAGAAAATGCAAATGAAAAGACTTACAAATTTTAACGCTTTAGTTTAAGAAGAAATTTGTACTCTCGCGGCAGAATCCTTTCGTTATTATGATCATTGAGGCTTTTACAATGAAGAAGTCTAGCTTTAACGAAATCTTTGTTGCACCTGATGCAGCCGACTTGGAATAGATACTGAACTTCATGCATGTATGTTGAGCTGGTCAGGAGAAAATGAAATGATTACGCAAATTACTTCAGTCACGAGAACTACAGAGTACCATCAAAGATAGTTTCGTGTGCCCCATGTTATTCGCAAAAAAACAAGCCATCTTTTTAGTCGAATTTTCTGATAAACAGTTTTTCGAAGACCCCAAGCATGTGATAGATTCAAAGAAAATTGACTTGAAGTCAGGACGGGTTTAGCTGATTATGACAGCTAGAAACGCGTGAGAAACTGTAGCGTAATATCAATTGATTGAAACAGTTTGAAGTCATAAAGAAACAGTTTAAAACTTGCTTACCCTTCCTTTGATCATGTTTCGCTGAGAGCTTGGTTTGGCTGTGCCATTTTCAGTAGGATATGAATAGTTCGATTTCTCGTTCATTAGGCAATGTTCAAGATGTCTCACTCATTCCCAAAGAAATAGTATTTGACTAGGGCTTCTGTTATGATCGATGATGCATGATGAGTGTGGTTTCTCTATGATGGTTAGCAACAAAGAAACGGCATTTGAGTAGGGCTTCTGTCATGATCGATGATGCATGATGAGTGCGGTTTTTCTAAGATCGTTAGCAACAGAAAAAACTCGGCAAGAGGTTATAAGCTACCAAGATAATTTCAAGAGAAAAAAGTGGCTTGTTAAGGGTCCTTAACTGCGGTCAATTACCCTATTTTCTAGTCACAGCAAATCGGAAACAAAACTAAAAGGAGTGATTACTAAATATTAATTGGAATGAATCTTACTGCATATTGAGAGTTAAAAAAATATTGGCCACCGTATTTCCACATTTTGACAATCAGGTGCCGTTATTTCATCCGATCAATTTTTATAGCGAATAGAAGGATTTCTTTTCAAAATAGTTGACGAACAATTCTTGTAGCTTATACAAACTTTTAAGTAACCTTCTGTAACGCAGTAACGAGATAATATCATTGCACAGAAGAGCAACAAGATATTTTATTAGTTTCAGTAACGACAGGAGGTTAAGTTATCTTATAAAATCTTTCAATAATCCATCAATCCGTGGTACTTCTGAAAAAACGAGTGACTCTTCTTTTAAGTGAATTTGGCTTCTTTGCAAAACCCTAAGAAGAGGAAAGAAAAAAAGAAAATAGAAAAAAAGAAGAAGAAAAAACGTAAATGAAAGAGCAAAAAATTAAAAAAAGAAACAGTTGCTTTTCTTGGAAATAAGGTTAAATTACAATTATCCTCTAACCTTTTCGTTTTTTTCTTCATTTTGTTTGCCATGATTCAGTAACTTGGTTTGCAAATCTGCGATTTGTATCTTGATGTAATCAATCTCTCTATAGAAATAAAACAAGTGTTAATATTTTGTCTTATTACTGGTTAAGCCTGAAACAAGACTTTGAGATAATTGACCGACGACAACACTACGCTTCAAAGTAAGAAAAAAAATTATTAGAAGCGGTGAATCTTCAGAGATTCAGAGAGGAGCCATCATGGTCATTAAATCATTGATGTTAAGCAAGTCTCACAAATTTATCCATTTTTTGAGAAATACTTACGTTTGTCTCTCGTTCATTACCGACGCAAACTGAAAGAAGAAGTAGAATTTGATGAATAAAATGTTGAGGATTTTTGGGAGAATCACATGGGCTTCAGGGGGATCGAATGGGAGATCAGTTATCGCTAACAGAGTATAACGTGGGGACGAAAGAAAATTGACCGCCTATTAACTGCCAAGGAGGGTGAGAGGTGGTCATAACAATATTACAGAGCTTTTTGGGGGTATCGGGTTTTTTTAAAATCGTGACACAGTCAAAATCTTCCACACCCCCCCTCCCCGGGGATAATCAGTCCCTTAGAAGATAACGACGGTCAAAGCCGTTCGTATCTCATACAAGTTTATTATTGATGTCCTTGCCACAATATTGAGAAGCTTTCCTTACAAAACAGAAAAATTCTTATTTCGATATCTGATAGTGTCGAATTCAAGTTAGTTCGAAAAAAACTGGGTCACCTGGTATCTCAGGTTGTTCATGTAAACAAATATAAATTATGGTGACGCCGAAGGGATAAATCAACACGGGGATGAGAAATAATAAATTCTAGTTAGTATGAAAACCAGCAGATTACCTCCAGACGAGCGTTTTCGAAATCCTTTTCAATCTGTTGTTCCGTTCTGAAATAAATTCATATAGAGAAAGCATCAAATCGTTGCTGCTTTAAAACTGTTATTTGAATAAGTCTGTAATAGTCTGTGTGCATTTGACTACCACCTGATCTTTTCTTCTTAAATATGTACATATTACCAAGAGATAGACTTTCCTTACCTTTCATGTTCCTTTATCGATTCTCTAAAAGCCTGAAAGACATAAATAAACCATAAATGGACGATACTTTCATTAACTTTCCTAAAACTGACTAAAAGCTCGAGTGGATTAGTAATAATGGGTGGCAGTTTGCATTGGTTGAGAGCGTGGGGGGAATTTTTACACCAATCACAGGGCGTAGTAAAGCACATGCAATCAAATTAAGGATAAATTTGGTTACTCACTTGAAAATCGCCCCACGTCCTTTATCAGTTCTGTTATTTAACGAAGCTCTTCGCATTTCTTACCTTCACTTCAAGTTTGTCCTTTTTGATAGACTCCTCCAAACTTGAATTCTGAGGAGAAAATGCCTTAATAATTATTCACTACAAGTAATTTGATAACTAAAAAAAACATGATGATTCTAAGAAAAACGAGAGTAAAGTTAAGATTCTCAAAAGAGAAGCTCCATCTACCTCTTGTTCTGCTTTTGTCAAAGCGGCAGCTTTCCTGGAAAAGAAAAAAAGAAAAGAAATGTCTATTACGAACCTTTACGAACCTTTTTAATTTTGAAATTTTGAAAAAAAGAAAGTTTCACACGGAAGTAACCTTTCGACATCAGCATCCATGATCTGCAAAACAACAAAATTTGCTTCCTGAGATATAAAGATTTTCGGAACAAGGGAGAGTATTTAGGGACTAGGAACGGTATGAGCTTTAAGAAATCTTGTGTTCAACCTCCTCCTCTCGTCTCTTGGTCTTAGTCCCTGACGCTCTGCTTTGGAGCTTTCAAAAGACTATTCCATCACATTCGATTCTAAGAAGCAAGGTAATGATTTGTACATTTGACGGGGACTTACGATCCTCTTATATTTTTTAAGAGATATAATTGGAAATAATTGAAAATAACAAACTATAATTTAGCACCAACGATTTTGAAGTGAGGGGAGATAGAAACAGCCGGTGATGTATCATAATGTACCGTAGGGAGGGTCGGATGGAGAGGGATTCGGAGGCATGTATCAAGTTCAAACACGTCGCGGTGCCATTTGGCGCATTTGAAACAATTTTCGCGGTTTTTTGTCACTTTCAAGAAACGCTTAAGCCTCTTTAAAGTTTTTAAAAATTGTTTAAGCTACTCTTAAAATCCTTAAAAACTCACACCGTGTGTGGTGGAGGAGAACACGGGCCTCACCGCCCCCCCCCCCCCCCCTCCCTCCCTCCTTCCCCCTATTTGAACGGGCACTCGATATCAGATATTAAAATGATGATGATTTCGAACAAACCTTTATTTCATTTAGAAACTTTTCGATTTCGAATTCCTCGAATGCTATCTAAGGAAATGAGAAATATGGACATCACTGCTTTTCTCAATGCTGAAATAAATACTGATGTTCTCTCAGATTATACAAGATTTGATAGGTCCAAACTATTTTTTATTGAATCTGAAAAATAGTGACGCTTTACATTTTCATCAAAGTCATCAGAGCTACGTTTTTTATCGACAACGGAAAAAAAACTTTTAACCTACTTTGTTTGTGACGGCATTTAATTGTTTCCTTTGATTTTCCAGTTCGCTGTGGATGATATATGGAAATAAAAGCTTATTTGTTATCAACTGCTGTCAATAGTTATAATCAAACGAAAAGAAAGAAAATCGAAATTTAGAGAAAAAGTTATTCACCTCTCATAATCTGCTGTGATCTTCTCTGTCATCTAAAACGAAAATGGCAATAGTTTTATGATAAAAATGGATGAGAATTTTTTTCTACCGTTCAAGGAGCTTCTCGCGCGAAAAATAAGAGTGCTCTTTGTTCTTAAATGTAAGAAAATAGTTCATGATACACAGATGATAATTTTTGAGATGAAATGTTCAGTGCTATTTGCAAACCTGCGTTGATGTGGTTAATGCAGCTATGGTGGATATCAAAATTTCAATCTATTTGGAAAATGAAGTAACAATAGAAACAATTAGTCATCTGTAAAATCCATGAATTATATAGCAGAAACGTACTAAGAATAGTCATTCAAAGTGATTGCAAGTTCTTAGCGGGACGAGAAGAAGAAACTTTCTTGCGCCTAAATACAAACTAAATACTTACTCTGTGTTCAATATCTGTTATTTCTTCAGTGAGCTGTGCATTTCTTCTACAAGAATTTGAATATAAAGTTAAATAGTCAATTTTTTTGAAAAGAAATTCTTATGTTGTTTCGATAAGGTAAGGATCAGGGGAACGTTTATTTATTGGTTTATTCATTTACATAAAAACTTTGAGATGCAATTAGATCTCGTTGAATATTAAATAAAATAAATAAGTAAGGCTTAAAAAGCAATCGATGAAAAGTTGACCTGTAATGGATCGGTTATAATTTGCTGAAGGTGAAGTGTGCTCAGATATAATTAAACAGACCCAAATTTTTATCGTTGAACAACTCTTTGAAGGGATACCTACAAATTGTGTATTCAGTATTGCGCTATATTATATTGTTTACCTCTCAGCTTCCTCTAAATCAGAGTCGCTAACAATTTCCTGCATAAAATTCAAAGGATTCTTAGCTGAATATTGATAAGTAAGTGACAATTCTCCAGAATTTTGTCGTAAATTTTATGCTTACGAGCTCCTGTCGGTCACGTGATCGTCTTTCAAGTTGGTCCAGCTCACTAAAAGCAATGTTAAAAAAAACGATAAATCACTCTAAGGTTTTTTAGCAATGCCTAGAGCCTCCAATCTTTTAGATATGTCGCAAAGTGAAAGTTTATCAGAGGAGTTTACCGCGAGAGCGTTGATAGATTCTTACACTTTTCAGTGGTTCAACAGTAGAACATGTCTTCTTGTTTCGAAAACGAGTCTGATTGAGAAGAGAGCTTTGCGGAATATAAGCTATCATCGGTACCGGGACTGAGATTCGTAAATGAGAAGTTATTCTTTGCAGCATAACCGCACTATGGGACATCCAGATACCGGTGAGGGACCCCTTAATCATTGAAAAAAAAGCAGCGGATTTAAGAAAGTGGATTCCACTTTCATAACCGAAATCTACAGTACTAAAAACTTGGATTTACGACGGTATCTGAACAAATGCGCACGAAGCCCTCCCCTGACCCCAAAACTACATTCAACTGATAACAAGTTAGGGTTAATGCTGGACTTGGGGAGGGGTAGGTGGAAAATCACTCAGATACTGACTTTGATCAATACTAAAAACTTCAATTAAATAATGCAAGATAGAATAGCATATTTCAGAGTCTTGCCTCTCGTAACGTTCGTTTTCGTTCTGCAACTTCTTCAGCTCATCCTGTCGACAGATAAAAGATTTAATAAGACATGAGTAAAAACATTGCGAGGTCATC